TTGTCTCAATGGTAAAATAGGCGTTGCAAGCAAAGTCGGAGAACGAGCACTTTGCATGCTATTTGGTTATATTCCTTGTCACTATATAGTAACCCTTTTGTCTAACATGAAGATTTAATCTATACTAGGCTCTATATGGACTGAAGGCCAGAGCAGATAACAAATAAAAGCTTATCAAGGTGCTTGTAGACATATAGCACTGTTACATGTAAACGATTTCACATACGCCCTTAGTCGTCAAAAGTTGTTATCAGAAATACACATTTTTGGGACTAATATTTCTCAGGGCTGCGAAATAAGTAGTTTGCAAGCGAAACCTGATTTGTATGACACAAAAACAATGTTTACATTCTAACCAATACCGGGAATCATTACATGTACCCCTTCACAGTTCACTCTATGTAATAATTTAGTTTTGTTATCAATGATTCGATTAATAAAGTAAACATTTTATTTTTTCTATTTATCTAAGTTTTAAAACGATATTGACCGCACAGAGACGAATTTCTTCAATATAATTTGTTGTTAGTTTTGTGCGAATCAATTAATTAACTGAAAAACACTTATATAAGCTTTCTGTTGTCTATTTTGTTGTAATTATTTTACAATGAAATTGGTTGAAAAACAAAATTTGAATGTATTCAACTCCCAAAGTGTTTGCGATTGTATGGTCGCCTGCCTCATGTGTTTCCTATAGATATGCTGATTTTCTACTACAGATGTGTTTTGTATGTATGTATTTGTTTAGATAAAAAAAAAATCATAATTGATGACTATGTTCTGGTATTTAAGCAAAACTTAGTGTTTAATACCTACATGTGTCACATCCTACAATCTATAAATAATTTACGTACAACATCTGACACATTTTATAAATAGGTAGGACTAACTGTAGCAAACTGTCTGAAATTCCGCAACAAACATATTTTTTGTGATTCTTTTTTATATTTTTGCTGAAATAGTCAATTTTATGACATGTTTTTGCTCATTGCAGGTCTCATCGCCATGGCAGAAAGTGCTTAAATAAGGATCGATTTATCTACCTTTCAATTTCGCTTGTTGAATATTTTGTGGGAATTTGTTACGGGGAAAAACATCGAAAATTAGAACCCAGATAAAAACGCAACCTGAAAGTTTAAAGTACAATACATTCATCATTTCAAGAAATTAATGATCACTAAAACGCCTTTGTATTTTATTGATTAGGCATTTATATTCAAGTATGAAATCGTACCCCTGTTGATGAAGGGAGAGAAAAAAAATCAAAATAACATAGCAGTCTATATTGCCGGGAGATGTCATTATAACTCGTGGATGTATGCAAATTTGGCTGTGATTTTCGGGTAAGCCTGGTTTAACAGTCACCGGCTTAAGCGGCCAATATCTGCCGGTCCCTTGGGTGGCCTCTTAATACAGGTTTGACTGTATATACTTGTGTTTATGTATTGATCAGTATATATAGTACATGTAAATGATTCTGTAATAACGGAAGATATCGGGTTTATATTTCACCTTACACAGATAAGTGTGTTTTATATAGAACACCGGTTGACCTATGTAGGTCTATGTAGGTCAACCTCTTTCTCCATTTTCTTGTAGGTGCTATTTCAGTTATGCACTTTGTTAGGATAATTTACATGTGTATAAGTATGTGACGTAAGGAATTATATTGGGGGGACTCTGTGTGTTGTATTGCATTTGATGTATGAAGTTATAGGCAATAAATTGATATAAAGTGTAATTTGTAGTAACTTTGTTCATAAACATTCACTTTTGTTTTATAATCACTTTCTAGGTTCATATTGTGCGTTGATGTACATTGTACGTTGATAGTTGATTTGGGTATAGGTTGACCTTTTTTATGTCGTTTTAAGTTAGATTTAAGAATAACGTTGGTTAAGCCTTTGTTACTTGGGATAGGTTATTACTTCTCGTGTTGTATCATTATATAATAATATAATATCGCTTTGGGTGTAGATACCACGCTTGTGCTCGGAGTTTTAACCATAATTTAAATAATTATTTATTAAATTACATTATTACACTATTTAAAGATATTCTATTCGCTATATACAATCTTCGGCAGTAAAAATTATGCTTTAAAATTAGCATAAAAATCAATAGAACTGTTTTTTTCTCTTCTTTTTTGCTTTACATTTTGTTTTGCATTTTGTATGAACATGTTTCAGGCATGTGCTCTTCATGTTGTGTTTTGCCTTTTATTTCTCTGATTCAGTGCTCATATTTTACCATAGTGACGTTTTTACTTATGAGACCTACATAGAGACATTGTTAGTAAATATATATATACATGTATATATATTCTATTATGGTTTCTTCTTTGAAATCAATATTGGGTTCTTACTTAATGTTTTACTAACGCAATATTTGTGACATTTGAGATGTGAAGCCACAAAAAGCATTAACCAATTTAACACTACAGCACAAATACATATATAGTATAACTCGTAAAACTCACAAATATAGAAACATGATTTAATAAAACCAAAACAAGAACAATAAATAGAGTTAATGCAACATGCACTTTTAAACATTAACGATTTATAGAAGAAAACAAATTCGTTTACAAAGAAATGAAACATTATCAGCTTACTGAGTAAACTTTGTCAAATTAATATGTTAGGCGTAACTAGAGAACAGTATAATGATTTACATAAATATCAGTTATACATAAAAGTACATCATTTAAATTTGGCGTTCTTGAAAGCACAAATTTCAACAATTCAGTTCAACTTATCCCTCCTATCAATGTCTTTGCTAAAAACATCCACAAGGTTTTATGTCTACACGTGTTAGTAGAGGTATTATATTTCAAAGACTAAATACTCCATTCATTTCTAAGAACTAATTAAGACAAAGGTGAAGCAGGAAGGCATACCATCGTCAGATATGTTTTAAAAAAAATAGCACGTTTGGAATACTACATGACGCCTGTAAAATGTTTGCTATAATGATAATTTATCTTCATTACGGTGACTGAATAATGAAAATATTACATTGCGGCGAAATAATCCATTTCATTGTATAAATTCGATTAACTTACCAAGAACAGCCGTTTCAAATTCGCGGTAAACAGATGTCATGTTTATCGTTATAAACAGAATTCATGTTTATCGTTATAAACAGATGTCATGTTTATCGTTATAAACAGATGTCATGTTTATCGTTATAAACAGATGTCATGTTTATCGTTATAAACAGATGTCATGTTTATCGTTATAAACAGATGTCATGTTTATCGTTATAAGGCTTTTTTTTCTTTAGTTATTTATTGTTTGCATGTTGATCATACCGTAACATTCAATATGCCATACTAAATATTAAACAAACATGTACAAGGCCGCGTGATAACATACTCGTATATTTGACGACCCGTATACGTGCTTTGTTTCTACCTTGTCGTTTATTTCTGAATTACAAAAGTGTATTCAGTGTAAATAATAAGTGAATAAAATAAGATAAAAACATTTATAAAATAACGAAAGATTTTTTTTATATAAGCACTATTTGAATCGCAGACATTGACGTTACCTCCCCAATAGGCCCAATGTGCCCTTCCTCTGACAACATTCCACATACATTGAACAGTAGCCAAAAAGTAATTTACTCTAAAAACAACCTACATTGTATCTTACTTACATACATCGTCCACCCGGTATTTACTTACCATTTGGTATTTACTTACCATTTGGTATTTACCTACCATTTGGTATTTACTTACCATTTGGTATTTACCTACCATTTGGTATTTACTTACCATTTGGTATTTGAATCTATCACTTGTAACCCTTGTCTTCATAGTGGTAACTCACACTTTCCCTCATTTTTTATATTTTTACTCCATTCTTACCCCAAACGTTGTCGATGGATTTTCTTTTAAAATATAACTTTAGAATATATTCGTTTCAATAGTCTGAACCAATGAAGTGTCATGTAATAAATGTTTGTAGCAATGCCGAGACTGTTATTGGCCGTGGGGACGCCCGGTTGCTCAATTAGAAAATCAGGATAAGGCTAATGGTGACCAGCCAAATGGACAGGATTGTTGAGGCCCAACCGGAATGCCAGGACGACGCTAGGAAAAACAATAGAAAACATAGTTGTTCAATGCATTTCTTATGCAGACTTTATTTTATTTAACAAATTAATCTGTTCAATGTCATACACTTTTGTCTGCTATAAAAGTGAAATAATTATTTATTTTTATGTGTGTTTTTGCACTTGCTTAATTTATTTGTGAACGAAATTGCTTTTAATTTTGTTTTTTTTAACAGGAGCAACTGAACATCTACTATACTTATTCAAATGAAATTGAACTCATTTTCATAATTGTCAAATGGAATGACTAATTATGTATTCGTTTGAAATATGCACTTTATTCGCACATGCGTTTCAATATGTACTATCAAACATACCTCCGGATCCAAGAGAATCTGCATCAAACAAACAAAATCCAGAACCGGCTACACAGTTGGTGTCAGTGGTAGTGCTAGTTTGGCTCCCAGTCGTTGTCTGATGTTGGGGAGTTGACGCGGATACCGCCGCTTGCTGTTGTGTAGTTGTTAAATTTGACGCCACCTGTTGTGAAGTTGTGGTTGAAATAACAACTGCTTTCCGAGTACTTGTTGAGACTGTAGAAGTGTGGCGTATGGTTGTGGCAGAGGCAGTTGCCGCCTGTGGCGTTTTTGAAGGAGAAGAAGTAGTCGCCTGTCGCGTAGTTGAAGGAGAAGCAGTAGCCGCCTGTCTCGTTGTTGAAGAAGAAGCATTAGCCGCCTGTCTCGTTGTTGAAGGAGACGCAGTAGCTGCCTGTCTCGTTGTTGAAGGAGAAGCAGTAGCTGCCTGTCTCGTTGTTGAAGGAGAAGCAGTAGCTGCCTGTCTCGTTGTTGAAGGAGAAGCAGAAGGCGCCTGACTCGTAGTTGAAGGAGAAGCAGTAGCCGCCTGTCTCGTTGTTGAAGGAGAAGCAGTAGCCGCCTGTCTCGTTGTTAAAGGAGATGCAGTAGCAGCATGTCGCGTAGTTGAAGGAGAAGCAGTAGCTGCCTGTCTCGTTGTTGAAGGAGAAGCAGTAGTAGCCTGTCGCGTAGGTGAAGGAGAAGCAGAAGCCGCCTGTCGCGTAGTTGAAGGAGAAGCAGAAGCCGCCTGTCTCGTTGTTGAAGGAGAAGCAGTAATCGTCTGTCGCGTAGTTGAAGGAGAAGCAGAAGCCCCATTTGAAGCAGTTGAAGAAGAAGTAGTGGTCTGTCGCGTAGAACCTGTAGATTGTGAGGACGTCACTACAGGCACAACTGTACTTGTGGAGGAAATCGGAGCACTTTTGGTTGAGCTTAAGGAAGATGCTGAAATTGCCGTGGTCGATGTCCCATTACCTGGAATGAAGATAAAAATAGTTTGTTGCTTTGGCATGAATTAATTCTGATTGGAATATTAAGCTTGTAGTCCATTTTTAGTTAATTTTGATGATGCAGTAAATATCAAGGCGTGGACTTTGCAGTCTTGTTACTACACATTACGCACAATCATTTTTTGTCATTTACCATGTACGATACCTGCCTTGTGTTTACAATTTAACATACAACAGAGCTTGTGTTTCTGATAGCTTAACACCTACTTCACTGTCAAATTTGCTTTGTAAAGACATAAAACACCTGCATATATACAAGACTTTTGTTCTTTGTACAGTTTCGTCCTGTCCTATTTCATAATAGTCTTCATTTTATCTTCATCGCATGAATCCAATGTATGTGTATATAGTGTAATTTATTCAAACTAATTCATGCCTTGTCAAAATCAAGACACTTTGGTCGAGCTATGTCAACCTGTATAAACTGGTGTGTATGTATGCACTGGTAATACCTCCTTCTAGGAAGAACTCTTTAGATTGAGGTGATAACAAGTAACTCCCTTACACTTCCCCAACCACGTTAGCCACCATCATGGTTGAGGGTTTATTATTTATAGCCACCACCAGACTCCGACATTAGCACGGGAAAGCTAGAAAGGAGTGACGGGAGGTCCGTCTTTAAATGACGGAGAAAACCGTAGTACACGAAAATAACCAGCATGTCACCGCAGAGACATAGAAGCAAACTCTACAGACATACATGTGTCAGCGGAAGTAGGGAGGGGGCGGGGGCTCGAACCTAAACAATTACGTGCGTCTGCAACCAACTAGCAGTCACACATCAATGACAATCATAAGACCCGTTCATATACGCTTCAAGGCGAACCGACTTACCTCTAGTTCCACAATTCAACGCAGCGTCGCCTAGGTTTCCACACATTCCGTTTGAAATATCCGAAGTCGCCAAATCACAGTCAAATGCATCAAGCTCATTCCCAGTGCAATTGATTGCAAACAAGCCTCTGCTGAAATTTTGACTCCGTTGTAGTATAGTTGCTGACCCAGGACCAGGTAAGCCAAGGTGTCGGCACATGACCGCAGCTTCGGTGTCGTTCCACATTAAACCACATATACTACCTACATGTCCGTTTGTCATGTCATGGACCATGAGTCGGTTATCAGCATTGAGTGAGAAGAACATGGAAAAGTCTGAAACAGATAATCACAATAGACCATTGTTATAGCATGAACTTACTGGTTAATGTTATAAGACAGGATAGCTCTAGCAAATATCATTTTATTATATCGATATATTAAAGCTTCTAATCTATCAATAACGCTTTTTATTCTTATCGGAACATTGAACAGAAATGATTTTTTATCTTACGTTTGTGAAGCATATTTAGTAACCAGTTTAGAGCTGCATTTGTTTCTTTATAAAAATGGAAAAATATGTGTTTTTGAGAAGAGTCAGATTTATGAACCACTATAGCGTAGTTGAGGGTAATGTGTTTATGTTCGATTGAGCTGGGGTTTTTTTTCGCAAAGCTTGTGTTGTGCATTAAAAGTAGATCCTTAAAATTAATGATTGCAAGTCACTAAATTGCATGCAAACATATGTACCATGATGCACCAAGAATATAATCTGCTGTGTTTGATCATCATAAATGTTAGGAATAGGTATATCAATTCTAATATTTAAGTTTTTATCAGTATAGAAATTGCAACTTTATCATATATCAGAAGTATTTCTCATGGTTCCTGTTGCATTTTGAGTCCGCCGCTTACTAAGTGGTAGAACAGTCCCTTTTTGTAGGAATTCGCTATTAAGAGCGTAAATAAAAATCATTGAGACGGATTGACTTGAAATCGGACACTAAAAAAATGATGGAAACACTCGAATACTTTCGAAAGCATTCACGTGTCTAAGTTCCTGTATGAATACAATCATATTAGGCGTATTTTGTGTTGATATGCTTATCAAAAGCAATGAACTATAACAAAATATGTAAATTTATATTCTAAATCGCATCATCAATTTCTAAAGTTTATTACAGATTTTATGCGTATATGGTGATAGTCCAGTGCATGCGACTCACGATAAAAAATGATTTTTACTGTAGAAAGCTGAAACAAACAAAAGTCAATCAATTTTGTGTGATGCGGAAAGAAAATCTCTAACTCCAGGAAAAGATTTCTGTAGTTTAGCACTCCAATCCAAACTCATCGCTTGGTTGGCATTTCTAATGCAGGAGCAATCGATTGTTTCTCTTTATATTTTAATTTTAGGATTGCAACCTTGCAACATCGGTTTGCAAATCCCCTGGCAAACCCCTGGCCAATGTATATTCTTGCTCTGCGTTGTGATTGACAACAACATCTATACTTGGGAGTCGCCAACAAACGCTATACTCTTGCAGTTAAAGTAAAATGGACTATTGGTGGTAATAACAGTTGACCATCACCCTCTACTTTTACTCTAGTGTCACGGGTCAAACGTTCTTTTAGCTAATTTTCTCCTGATTATAACTGTTTGTAATCAACCACATCAGACGTCGTTATCATTTTAAGTTATTTACTCCTTTAGGTGTTTAAGTTTAACACTTAACGTTCCTTTTTCACGTTACGTTCTTATTTTGAACATTCTTAAATTTGAATACTTTCCTCAAATAGATATGGTTTTTGTAATTAATGCAGTGTTTCAGAATGTGTTTTTACCAAACGGATGAATATATCACTGTTACATTTGACATCTGAGGAAATAGTACCTTTACCTCGACAAGGTAACTGATTTGAAGAATTCAAAACCTTCTTTAAAATTAAGAACTGTCGTGATACCGACCACAAGATATAAGCTTTACATTAATAAAGTAAATATAACTTTACTTTTGCATATCCTTTTTGCATGATTCAAATCATAAATATGCATAACGGCTTAGTAACAACACGTGATATCAATATAATGACCACAGCGAAATTTTAAATACATTTTTTCAAGTTATTTTATCAGAGATTGGATATATTAAGCAAAGTACAATTACGACATTAAACTCATTTCTTAAACCTTAAAAACTATATGACAGATCATTGCATTATAATTATTTATAACGTAACATTGAAACTAAACAAAATCCAGTGACATGTTTTAACTCGTCTACGTTATGGCCTTTAATTCACGATATTTGATTCCAAATATCGTAGCACATACCAGCCATACAAAGAGCTACACCACAGGTATCTTCCCGGATATATACACACCCACGCATACTTACTCAATCCTGATTGGGGGAGGCTTGTTGAAAGAGACGATGACATTCGAGTAGTAACTGCAGTAGGTTGAGTGACAGTTGATGTAGCAATAGATTGTGGCGGTGACGTTTTGACAACAGAGGATGTTTTCAGAGATGACGTCATTCCCTGTGGCAAATTAGGTGTACTGGTGGAATGTGATGTCTTTATTCCATTTGGCGATGAGGAAGTACTGTGTGTACCAATAGATGGTGATGATGCCATTCCGTGAGATTGAGAGGTTGTACTGGTTGTACCGGAAGATGTCGATGATGTAATTCCATGTAGCGATGGCGAAGATCTGCCTGAATTAGTGAATCGCCCTGACGTCATTGTGTGTGCCAAATATGTGGAACCGGTAGTACTATTTAAAGACGCCGTTCCATGTGAAGGCATCGTAGTATTAGGTGAACCATTAGATCGTGATGACATGATTCCACTTGGCGGTGGGTTAGTTCTTCGTGTACCAAGAGATGGTGGTGACGTTATTCCTTGAGATGATACGGTTGTACCACGTGAAGCTGTGGATGATACTGACGTCAATCCATGCTGAGGAGATGCTGTAGTGACTTTACCTTTGGATGGCGATGATGGCAGTAAGGAAGTTGCTCGTGAACTTCTTGATGTTGTCATTCCTTGTGGTGATTTGGAGGTACTTTGTGTACCAATAGACTTTGATGACGACATTCCTGGTAGCGGTGGGGTAGTTCCTTGTGAACCGCGATATGGTGATGATGTCATTCCATATAACGATTGGGGTGTACCACGTGTAAAAACGGGTGGAGATGATGTCATCCCATTTGGGGATTGGTTAGTATTTAGTGTGACCATAAATTTCGTTGACGACATTCCTAGTAGTTGTTGGTTAGTACTATGTGAACCAGAAGCTGAAGATGATGTCATTCCATGTGGTGATTGGGAGGTTCCTTGTGTGCCAGTAGACTTCGATGACGATATTATTGGTGGCGGTTGGGTTGTTACTTGTGAGGAGCTAATTGGTGAGGACGTCATTCCATGTAATGACTTGGTAGTACCACGTGTGGAATCGGTTGAAGATGATGTTACTCCTTTTGGCGCTTGGTTAGTACTTTGTGTGCCCATAGATTTCGTTGACGACACTCCTGGCAGCGGTCGGGTAGTACCATGTGAACCAAAAGATGGGGATGACGTCATTCGTTGTGGTGGTTGACCGGTACTTTGTGTACCAATAGACTTTGATGACGACATTCCTGGTAGCGTTGGGGTGGTTCCTTGTGAACCGCTGATGGTGATGACGCCATTCCATGTAACGATTGGGTTGTCCCACGTGTAGAAACGGATGGAGATGATGACATCCCATTTGGCGATTGGTTTGTATTTTGTGTGACCATAAATTTCGTTGACGACATTCCTAGTAGCGGTTGGGTAGTACTATGTGAACCAGAAGCTGAGGATGATGTCATTCCATTTGGTGATTGGGAGGTTCCTTGTGTACCAGTAGACTTCGATGACGATATTCTTGGTGGCGGTTGGGTTGTTACTTGTGAGCCGCTAATTGGTGAGGAAGTCATTCCATGTAATGACTTGGTAGTACCACGTGTGGAAACGGTTGAAGATGATGTTACTCCTTTTGGCGCTTGGTTTGTACTTTGTGTGCCCATATATTTCGTTGACGACACCCCTGGCAGCGGTCGGGTAGTACCATGTGAACCAAAAGATGGGGATGACGTCACTCCTTGTGGTGGTTGACCGGTACTTTGTGTACCAATAGACTTCGATGACGACATTCCTGGTAGCGGTGGGGTAGTTCCTTGTGAACCGCGAGATGGTGATGACGACATTCCGTTTGCAGGTGGTGTAATACCAGATGTACCATTAATATGTGAAGACGTCATCTTATTTGGCGGAGATGATGTGCCTTGTGCAACATTTGATGGTGATGACGTCATTCCATGCGGAGACTGGGTAGTACCACGTGTAGAAACGGATGAAGACGATGTCATCCCATTTGGCGCTTGGTTAGTACTTCGTGTGCCCATATATTTCGTTGACGACATTCCTGGTAGCGGTCGGGTTGAACCAGAAGATTGTGATGATGTCATTCCATGTAACGATTGGGTTGTACCACGTGTAGAAACGGATGGAGATGATGTCATCCCATTTGGCGATTGGTTAGTATTTAGTGTGACCATAAATTTCGTTGACGACATTCCTAGTAGCGGTTGGGTAGTACTATGTGAACCAGAAGCTGAAGATGATGTCATTCCATGTGGTGATTGGGGGGTTCCTTGTGTACCAGTAGACGTCGATGACGATATTCTTGGTGGCGGTTGGGTTGTTACTTGTGAGCCGCTAATTGGTGAGGACGTCATTCCATGTAATGACTTGGTAGTACCACGTGTGGAATCGGTTGAAGATGATGTTACTCCTTTTGGCGCTTGGTTAGTACTTTGTGTGCCCATAGATTTCGTTGACGACACTCCTGGCAGCGGTCGGGTAGTACCATGTGAACCAAAAGATGGGGATGACGTCATTCCTTGTGGTGGTTGACCGGTACTTTGTGTACCAATAGACTTCGATGACGACATTCCTGGTAGCGGTGGGGTAGTTCCTTGTGAACCGCGATATGGTGATGACGTCATTCCATATAACGATTGGGTTGTACCACGTGTAAAAACGGATGGAGATGATGTCATCCCATTTGGCGATTGGTTTGTATTTTGTGTGACCATAAATTTCGTTGACGACATTCCTAGTAGTGGTTGGGTAGTACTATGTGAACCAGAAGCTGAGGATGATGTCATTCCATGTGGTGATTGGGAGGTTCCTTGTGTACCAGTAGACTTCGATGACGATATTCTTGGTGGCGGTTGGGTTGTTACTTGTGAGCCGCTAATTGGTGAGGACGTCATTCCATGTAATGACTTGGTAGTACCACGTGTGGAATCCGTTGAAGATGATGTTACTCCTTTTGGCGCTTGGTTAGTACTTTGTGTGCCCATAGATTTCGTTGACGACACCCCTGGCAGCGGTCGGGTAGTACCATGTGAACCAAAAGATGGGGATGACGTCATTCCTTGTGGTGGTTGACCGGTACTTTGTGTACCAATAGACTTCGATGACGACATTCCTGGTAGCGGTGGGGTAGTTCCTTGTGAACCGCGAGATGGTGATGACGACATTCCGTTTGCAGGTGGTCACCTCGCAGATGTACCATGAATATGTGAAGACGTCATCTTATTTGGCGGAGATGATGTGCCTTGTGCAACATTTGACGGTGATGACGTCATTCCATGCGGAGACTGGGTAGTACCACGTGTAGAAACGGATGAAGACGATGTCATCCCATTTGGCGCTTGGTTAGTACTTCGTGTGCCCATAGATTTCGTTGACGACATTCCTGGTAGCGGTCGGGTTGAACCAGAAGATTGTGATGACGTCATTCCTTGTGGTGATTTGGAGGTACCTTGTGTACCAGTAGACTTCGATGATGACATTCCTGGTAGGGGTTGGGTAGTACCTTGTGAACCGCGAGATGGTGATGACGTCATTCCATTTGTAGATGGTGTTATACCAGATATACCATTACTATGTGATGACGTCATTCCATTTCGCGAAGATGATGTGCCATGTGCAACAGTAGATGGTGATGATGTCATTCCATGAGATGACTTGGTAGTTCCTGTACAATATGAAGGAATTATGATTATTAGAAAAGATTAATAATTAACAATTTGTATGACTTTTTATTCTTTTTAAGTATACTGAACATAGGGTCCGCATTATATTTTTTACAATTATGTCGTTAAATTTGATGATTTGTTTTGGTATAGATGGAATGATGCACTGTGCATCAGAAAAAAACACATATTTTCAAAATGAAAACAAATCGTACTTGTCATATTCATTACTCCACATCTTACGACGGCATCGTCCAAGGTGTCGCAACCTCCCATAGTAACGTCGTGGCTATCAGCCGAGCATTGCGAAAAGTCTGTCTCATTTCCAAGACAGTGTACACCAAACACTGTTCTGTTGTAGCGAGAGTCCCTGGGTAGTGTTTCCGCTACAGCCGGACCACCTAGTCCAAGATATCGGCAAATCACCTCGGCGTCTCGGTCATCCCAAGCGTTACTGCACACAGTGCCCTCCATTGCCTTGACTTTGTCAAACGCCATGACTCTACCACTCGGATCAATGTATAATGCATGCGTCCTATTATCTGTAATACAAAATGTCAGTGTATTGATGACGTTTAAGACATCAGCAAATGTTTATCATCTATACTGAATACATTGATTTGCATAAGCATCACTGGATTATGAAAGCAATAAATACTTTCTTGAATTTGTACTTTTTCAACAGATACATCGATACTGTCTGTAGGAAGTCATTGCAAAGATACTGACTTGGTTGTCGAGACCATATAGTTAGTTAAACAACAGAACCACAATAAGGATTGCGAGTCAAATGAAACTACTTTCTCAAAACAATCCCCTTTGTTAACATTGCGGAACCTACCATGCATATCACTAACATTTCCACAACAACTATCAAATTACATTTTGTTTTCAATTTGTGATGTTTGATCTACCCCGATAATCATTACACAAATGTTGTTGCTGAACGCTTCCCTGAAAAGTACCACCTTTAAATAAATTGCTTGATATTTAACATCTAAACACAACATTTAACGTAAATGCGTCTGAATTGCTCAGAAATATAACGGCTTACTTATATCCGCAACCCTCCAAAGATTAAGTATTGTCGCTTTACAATGAAACTGTTTCGGACCAATAGACAAATTTAAGAAAATAAAACCGTTACTGCACACAGTGCCCACCATTGCCTTGACTTTGTCAAACGCTATAACTCGACCACTCGGATCAATGTATAATTCATGCGTCCTATTATCTGTATTAAACACAATGCATATATTTTTACACTGATTTTACATGAGCAAATGATTTTTGACATCTTGATTGGCATCTTCGAGAGAGAAAACCGTCTAGTTGTACGCTTGTTTATTCAGAAGCATGTTTTGCAGCAATCACAACAATCTCCACTGAGAGTTCAAATGACGAGATATGTTTTAACATTGTTTTGCATTTTTAAATTAGTCATTCAATTTTTCGATTAACGAGCTCTTCACAAAAATTATACATTATTCACTTATTTAGATATAAAAATGTCGGCTGGCTGTCGGTAAGGATATTCAAAACTCTTTCAGGATTTTTTCCTAATTTTAAGATATGTTTTTCACAATTTTTTTTTGCGATTTGTTGTTAATCAATACAACAGTTGAATGCGAAAAGAAACTTTTTTTGTCTGACTTATTCTTCAATCATATTAAACAAAATCTCATGCCGAACACATATATACATCTTGGGTTACTTCTTTATGCAAAAATATAATACACCAATTATTGATTGTACATCAAGTTTGATTCTTTCAAAGTAGTGCCATTAAAAACAATTAAAATCTGTGACATGGAACCAAAGCCAATATCTATTTCTATTAAATAAAACACATTATTGACTTTTTTGAAGAATTTCATCAGAGGAAATAATAATTTCATGAAAATGTTCAGAATAAGAAAGGGCAATTATGGAAAATGAATACAGTCATAATGTACAGTCAGCGCTCAAGTTTGATGTTGCAAACCATGTGTATCGATGTTTCACAAAAATATTTTGTTCAAAACTAAAAACAACGAATAAGGTCGAAGAAAAAATTGTAGTACTTACTTGGCACGGGGAAATGTGTTGAGGAAGCCACAGGACCAGGATGGGGTGTCGACTTAAACATGCCACTGAAACAGTCCACCCCGGCGTCCATGTCGGTTGTACAAACAGATTGACCAGTTATGAAAGCCTCCTTATGACATTGATTATAGTCCCGCTCGGTCCCGATGCATGTCAGGTCCATAATTGACCGAACGCCGTACACCGCTGATGACTTTAATCTTATTGCAGTGCCAGTGTTAGACAGGCCCAGGGTACGACACACCACGCTAGCTGCTTCGTCACTCCAACGGTCACCACAAATAGTTCCCATCATTAATGACGTTGAGTTCATGAATAAAACGCGACCATCGGGCTCAACATCAAGACTAACTGTTAACAAACAAAATAAACGCAATAGCTGAAACGTCTTCAAATGATAATGTTGTAATTATTTTCTTTCCTCACTGTTAATTAAATCGGGCACTACTAACATTTCTGAAATTATGGTATATCAAAATGACAATCATGATATACTGACAAAAGGCAATGATATTGCAAGTATTAGTGTTTCACGTGCGACTGAATGAAAATATCTT